ATACTGATATTCTGTACAAACTGTGAAGTCCACTGAGACAAATGTAACATTTGTGATATTGGGCTATATAAATAAACATTGATTGATTGAAAGGACATGACAGACTGAGAATCTGTTGTCCTGCAGCTGACCTCACCCAAAGGTGCTGCATGCTGCTGCGGAGCCCAGGGGAAGAAAGGTGTACAGTGGAGTGTGTGGAGCCAAGAAAGACACAGCCGGTGACTCAGCGACTCAGAACCCTCATCTCATGTTTTAGTCTGCTGCGCAAACACCAACTCCTCCTGGGTTTCTTTTCATGTCGGCTAACTTCACACAGTACAGGTGTTCAAAGCGTTTCACTCACATCAACTGTAGCAAAAGTTGCTTAATGATTTACAGATGTGGGAGAAGTACTCAGATCTTGTACTTCAGTAAAAGTAGAAGTACCAGAGTGTTACAAGTAAAAGTCCTGCATTCAAAATGTTACTCAAGTACATGTACAAAAGTATTAGCATCAACATATACTTGAAGTACCAAAAGTAAAAGTAGTCATTGTGCAGATTGGTCCATTTCAGAATAATATATATATATGAGATGTCTGAATCTGTAAAGTAACTAAAGGTATTCAATACATTGTAGTGGAGTAGAAGTACAAAGGAGCAACACTTTAAATACTCAAGTACAGTACTTGAGTGTATGTACTTAGATACTTTACACCACTGATAATTTAACATATATCATAGTAGTCATTGTGCAGAAAGACACATGCAGCCGGTGACTCAGAAACCTCACCTCTTGTTTTAATCTGCCAACACCAACTCCTCCTGGGTTTATTTTCATGTCGGCTAACTTCACACAGTACAGGTGTTCAAAGCGTTTTTGGACAGTATTTGTGACGCCTTTAAATGGATGATGTTTCTGCAGATCGAAGTGACGTCATTCACGTGACCCTGTGTTTGTTTCTCTTTGCGGGCCTCTGTCTCTCTCCTCTGAACGCCTGACTGACCGTCTGGCTCCCAGATAGCATCAGGCTGTCTGAGATTAGCACTCATGAGGGCGCAGTTAAACTTGTGAAAGCCCTGGTCTCCTGTCCCGGTGCCTCTGTTCTACACAAAGCCAAACACTAATCATGAGTGTGGCACGACGCTGATAGCCTGTCTGCATTGTCACCGTGCCTCTGAAATGAGGTAAAGCCTGAGAGCTTATTGCAGAGCAGCCACAGATCCCAGACCAGGAGCCTGTTGTTGCCAGGCAGTTGAGCAGCGAAGAGGACAGATAATGGAGCTGCTCGACAACATTTTTGGAAGTGGACAGCTGATAAGTAACCGTTTAGGCTGCAGAGCTTTGCCTGCCTTCAGTTTTTCACACATTAAATAACACCTGTAGTCATAATGGACTCTGGTTTGTTTATAATAATATCATTCATGCAAGTAGTTATTGGAGTTTACACATTTAAATGCATTAAAAGTTGAAGTCTATCCTCAAACAACAATGGAACATAATGGACATTGTAGGGAAAAAAAAAGACTGGGAGTTTGGTATTATTCCGTTGCATTAGTTCACAATGTCCAAAATCTATCAAAGATGATTATGATAGTATGTTGTTCTGGGTCTTAAATTGTCCATCCATCTTCTCCCGCTTATCCGTGGTCGGGTCGCGGGGGTAGCAGTTCCAGCAGAGAGCCCCAAACGTTCCTTTCCCTGGCCACATCAACCAGCTCTGACTGGGGGATTCCAAGGCGCTCCCAGGCCAGCGAAGAGATATAATCCCTCCACCTGGTCCTAGGTCTACCCCTCGGTCTCCTCCTAGCTGGACGTGCCTGGAACACCTCCCTAGGGAGGCGCCCAGGTGGCATCCTTACTAGGTGCCCGAACCACCTCAACTGGCTCCTTTCGACGCGAAGGAGGAGCGGTTCAACTCCGAGTCCCTCCCGGATGACTGAACTTCTCACCTTATCCCTAAGGGAGACGCCAGCCACCCTGCGGAGAAAACCCATCTCGGCCGCTTGTATCCGCGATCTCGTTCTTTCGGTCATGACCCATCCTTCATGACCATAGGTGAGGGTAGGAACGAAAATGGCCCGGTAGACAGAGAGCTTTGCCTTCTGGCTCAGCTCTCTTTTCGTCACAACGGTGCGGTAAAGCGACTACAGTACCGCTCCCGCTGCTCCGATAATCCGGCCCATCTCACGCTCCATTGTTCCCTCACTCGAGAACAAGACCCCGAGATACTTGAACTCCTTCACTTGGGGTAACGACTCATTCCCTACTTGGAGCGGACAGTCCATCGGTTTCCTGCTGAGAACCATGGCCTCAGATTTGGAGGTGCTGATCCTCATCCCAGCCGCTTCACACTCGGTTGCGAAGCGATCCAGTGAGTCCTGAAGGTCGCAGACCGATGAAGCCATTAGAACCACATCATCTGCAAAAAGCAGTGGTGCAATCCTTAGTCCACCAAACTGCAGACCCCCTCCCCCATGACTACGCCTCGAAATCCGATCCATGTATATTACAAACAGGATCTGTGACAAAGCGCAGCCCTGGCGGAGGCCAATCCTCACCGGAAATGGGTCCGACTTACTGCCGAGGACCCGGACACAGCTCTCGCTTTGGGAGTACAGAGATTCGATGGCCGTGAGAAGAGACCCCCTCACCCCATACTCCCACAGCACCTCCCACAGTAACTCCCTGGGAACCCGGTCATACGCCTTCTCCAAGTCTACAAAACACATGTAGACCGGATAAGCATACTCCCAGGCCCCCTCCAGGATCCTTGCAAGAGTAAAAAGCTGATCCGTCGTTCCACGACCAGGACGGAATCCGCATTGTTCCTCCTCAATCTGAGGTTCGACAATCGGCCTGACCCTCCTTTCGAGTACCTTAGAGTAAACGTTCCCGGGGAGGCTGAGTAGTGTGATGCCTCTATAATTGGCACACACCCTCTGATCCCCCTTTTTGAAAAGGGGAACCACCACAACGGTCTGCCACTCCTTCGGTACTGTTTCCGACTTCCACGCAGCGTTGATGAGACGTGTCAACCATGACAGTCCCTCAACACCCAGAGCCTTCAGCATTTCTGGGCAGATCTCATCCACCCGGCTTTGCCACTGTTTGACTACCTCAGTGACCTCTAGGGTTGGGTATCGTTTGAATTTCCACGATTCCGATTCCGATTCTAGTTTTCGATTCCGATTCTTAACGATTCTCAATTCCGATTCTTTGAGGGGCAGGGTAAAAAAATGATACATGCTTCTTTCACCAAAAAAACAACATTTATTTGAGTGACTGAAGCTACAACACAGCAACAGTCCAACTTTTAAAGGAAACCCCCCCCCCCATTTAAAAACAGTTCTTATTGAGGAAAACAAGCATATCTGCCTTCTCAGGCAGTATGCGTGAGCGTTCAGCACAGATTGTGTCACCAGCAGTCGAGAAAACACGTTCACTGGGTGTAGAGGAAGCCTGGACACATAAATATGAGAAGGCCATGTCTGACAGGCAAGGATAGGTTGTTCTCATGTTCCACCACCAGGCCGCAGCGTCATCAGAAGTAACTATGCGTGGCATAGCCTTGTACATGTGCAGCTCCTTCTCTACCTGGTCCTGGATGGACATGGAATTCTGCTGTGGTGTCACCTTTTGGGCATCCTCATCAGCAAACAGCTCCTCCAATGGGGTCATTTTGGGGGTTTTGCAGGGATGCATTTGCTAAATGAATAAAGAACAACATATCACACAAAAGGAAACTTCCATTCAAAGCATAGATCATGATTAAGAAACCTCGCATATATATTTTTTTTGCAAACATACACTTACATTCTCCTCTGCCTCACTCTCCATTCCTTCCATGTTCTCGTCACCATCTCCTCCACAGTCTAGATCTGTTGACTACGGATAACAATTGGCATTATTTATGATCAAAGATTTTAATGATTGAGGAGACATTATTTGTTCATGAATAACATTTCACCTTCTCAGAGTCGGTCAGATTTTTGGCCAGGAACTTCCCCTTGATCCGGTCCCAGACAGCAGCATTATCGTCCATCTTTTGTTTGAAGCGTGGATCCAAAGCAGTAGCCTCTTCCAGAAAGCTCCTGATTTCATCACTCTGAACACAATTATTGAAAATGTAGGATTAAGTCATGAATATAATTATTTAATGTATTCTTCATTAACTTCTTTATAGCCTCAGTTATTTTACCTGGTAACGCTTTGACAGATTTCCCCAAACTTGCTTTTTAAGGTTGGACACAAATACTGTGTCCCCATCAGTAACAGTAAAATGCATCTCAAGCTTTTTGAGAATGGGCAGAATCTGTCCAGATGTCGGGTTCTTTTCCGAAGAAACGCAGAGGGTGGACGTGTACATAACCCTCATCAGTCTGATGAAGTCCTCTGCCCGCCTGAGGTCTTCGTCAGTGAACCGGGCAAGTCTGAGTGATAAAGAATATTTGTATTATTAACTATAAGTTACAAATATTACATTTTAAACAAAAACAATGCTGTTTGACAAGGGAACTGCTCCTCTTTAAATCCATCACTTATCCACACTAATCAGTATAGTTTACATTGCTAGCTACTTTTTAAGTCATCTACATTTGCATTACCACATGCTTATAGTGACAGCTCTCTGCACTAGTTCTGGTGGCTAGACAATCACTTCCCTGATAATGAAGTATTAGTGTTTTGTATGAGTCATATAACTATAAGCTACTGGATGCCATTTTCTTTTGGATCCATAAAGTAGCTATATTTTTTATCTATCAGTCTGACTACCTGTCCCTCTCCATAGGCTTTCTCAACCGTTGATCCAAGCTGGCTGCCTGAATTGCTGGGTATTGCTCGAGAAATCTCTCCAGCATTAGGTGGAGAGAATTCCAGCGAGTTCTCACATCAAGTATGAGCGAGTGTTGAGGCAGCTCTGACAAACAAGAAAATCACAAATACTTTAACATATGGGATTTCAATTTAACATGGAGTAGTTATCATTTGACATAGTTTTTGAAATGTTAATACCTGAAAAACGCATACAGTGCTTTGTATTGAAAAAAACAAGCATTATTTAATTAAATACAATTCACAACAATCAAATGAATGTAACTCAGTGAGTCTTACTTAGGATAGCCTGCTTCTCCTGGAGCACGGTCTTAGCCATTGATGACCTCTTAATCCACACAACAAGTGCACGGATCTTTGCTATCCATTGAGACATGATGGCCAATGAGTAGAGACTCTGTGCTGCCAGATTCAAAGTGTGAGCAAAGCAGCCCAGCTTCACAAATTGGAGCCTGTGTATGGCTACATCCATATTTGCAGCATTGTTAACTGTGACTGCCACTATTTTGTCAAAAATGCCAAAATCTGTCAAGACATCTGCAATCTCCTCTGCTATGACGATTCCTGTCTGGGCTTTGTAGACAGCCTTGGTTTGGAGCACTTTTTGCCTCATTTTGCCTTCCACTAAATAGTGTGCTGTGACAGTAAGGTAGTGGTCTTGCGCAATACTAGTCCAGCCGTCAGATGTGAGGGCAACATGGCTAACTTCACTAAGCTCAGTGATTATATTTGACTTTTCAATCTCATACCAAGATGGTATTAAGTGATTTGTCAGATAATCTCTGGTAGGGGGGGTGTAGTTGGGGTTAAGAGTAAAAAGCATGTCCCTGTAAACACAAAAATGATATTGTTATTGTGGGTGAGGTCTGGGCAGCTAGAAAATTTGTATAATTGTCTTTGCGTACCGAAATGTAGGTGCTTCTACTTCTGAGAAGGGATGCAGCCTTTTCACCACAAAAGCGGTGACTTTTCTGTGGCACTCCTCACGTTTCTCTACTGTCATCTTTCCCTTTGCTGCTAAGGTGAATGGGTTGACACGGGCTGGGACGGGCTTGTTAGCTTGAGCCGTTGTAGCCGCGCAACTACGGGACCGCAAACTTTCATCTACAAAAATATAGAATATCCACACATTTTACACACAACCTCTCAAACAAAACAACCATCCTTTAGTTTTGAGTGATGTTAACTTACATACCTGATTGCGAGGGCTCCGCTGAGGGAGGGCTCGGTGTTGGTTGAGCCGGGACGACAGCGGAAGACGACGGTGGTTGTGAGGCGGACGGAGACTGGCGAAACAGGTTGAAAACGGTACACTCCTTGATCTGTATACTGTGCAGGCGAAGGTGTTTTGTCATATTGGTCGTGTTCCCTCCTTTGGAGGAAATAAGTTTGGAACAGGTGTTGCACTCTGCCGACCCATTGTCTTTCCTAACAAAGTGAAGCCACACTTTAGAGCATCTACCGCTCATGGTAGTCCCAGGTTAAGCTGTTTAGAAGTGTAGGTACAACGCTACATTTCCCGCCCCAGTAGGCTACGGAGAGCGGCAAGAGATATTTCCTCAGGCATCGAAAAGCGGAACCGAAATTCACATTTCTAAATGATGCCGTTGGAATCAAAATGTTGGAACCGGTTCCGGTTCGGAACCGGTTCTCGGTACCCAACCCTAGTGACCTCCCCCCGGGAGATTGGTATTGATCCCCCGTCATAGTCTAGCTCTGCCTCTACCATAGAGGGCGGAGTTGTCGGGTTCAGGAGTTCCTCAAAGTGTTCCTTCCAACGCCCTAACACTCCATCAGTTGAGGTCAACAATGTCCCAACCTTACTGTACACAGCTTGGATGGTTCCCTGCTTCCCCCTCCTGAGGTGTCGGACAGTTTTCCAGAACAACTTTGGTGCTGCCCGAAAGTCCTTTTCCATGTCTTCTCCAAACTTCTCCCACACCCGCTGCTTTGCCACGGCTGAGGCTGCTGCCATTCGGGCCTGTCGGTACCTTGCCACTGCCTCGGGAGTCCCCCGGGATAACAAATCCCTGAAGGCCTCCTTCTTCAGTCGGACGGCTTCCCTGACCACCGATGTCCACCAGGATGTTTGAGGGTTACCGCCCCTTGAGGCACCTAAGACCTTGAGACCACAGCTCCCCGCCGCGGCTTCAGCAATAGAGGCTTTGAACACCGCCCACTCTGGTTCAATGTCCCCAGCCTCCACAGGGACGCCCGAAAAGCTCTGCCGGAGGTGTGAGTTGAAGGCCTCCTGAACTTGGGCCTCCTCCAGACGTTCCCAGTTCACCCGAACTACACGTTTGGGCTTACCAGGTCTGTCCAGAGGCTTCCCCCGCCACTCGACCCAACTCACCACCAGATGGTGATCAGTTGACAGCTCCGCCCCTCTCAGACACACAGTCCAGTAACAAACCACCACTCCGGTTCAGATCAGGGGGGGCGTTCCTCCCAATCACGCCCCTCCAAGTGTCTCCATCATTGCCCACATGTGCGTTGAAGTCTCCCAGCAGGAGCCCCATACAGGACTCTTTCCAGGGTCTCCAAGAAGGCCGAATACTCTGAAGTGCTGTTTGGTGCATAAGCACACACAACAGTCAGAGTTTTCCCCCCCATAACCTGCAGGGTAAACTCCAACAAAGAAGCAGCCAACTGGGGGCTTGTGAGTATCCCCACACCCGCCCGGCGCCTCACACCTTGGGCAACTCCGGAGAAGAATAGAGTTCAACCACTATCCAGAAGTAAGGTTCCAGAGCCGACGCTGTGCGTAGAGGTGAACCCAACCAGATCCAACTGGTAACGCTCCACCTCCCGCACAAGCTCCGGCTCCTTCCCCCCCAGAGAGGTGGGGAAGGAGTCCTTATCTGACTGCAAAGTATAGTTTATCCACTGCAGTCATAACACACGGAGAGATAGCATCTGTGACCTGATGAAATTGATCCCACCTTGCAAAGTAAAGCGGTCTGGTCAATAGGGAAAGCTAAAGAAAATGAAATGATTTGCCATATATTCATATGCTGTGCACATATCTTAGAGAAGTTTGGTCTCTCAAATGTACCACTTTAATCTCTGGAAATATATCCACAATCCATCTCTCTTAAATGTAAGGCATTTATCTCTGCAAAACCTTTTTTTTTTCTTTGAGGAATATTAACCCAAGTATGGACATTTTGGATAGTTTTAAGGCAAACTTCAAAAAATGTAAACCTAATGACTTTTACTGACGTTCATGCATTGATAGAATTTGATGTAGAAAATGTTGTTCAACCAACAGTACAAATAAAGAAATATTTGAAATTGCAATAAATATAGAAAAATGGGTGAGTTTTTGAGAACCTTGAAGCAGGGGCATTGGCAATGTGCTTGATACCTGACAAATATCACTGTAGATGCATGTAATGTTGGATATGGCTTGACCTACACTTGCCATGATGTAAACATATTGATGTTACAGTTTGTTTGTCATACAAAAGGCACAGTTTGTCCTGCTTTGCTGTTGATTTGAATCCGCTGTGAGTAGGTTATTAGTGAATCTGTTGGGTCAGCAGATCAGACACTGCAGACTTTGAGGTCCACCTGTGTAAAGCCCCTCAGCCACATCACAGAACTCCCTCTGCTGTAGGACTTCAGATGTATTTCTATCAATGCTTTCACTGTGCCACATGTTTACATTCACCACACATGAATACTCATGCTGGATGCAGGCCGGCACACCACAGCTGAAGGTATTGCAGACATTATTTTGAAAAGAGGGATTTGAAAGGCTCAGTGCACATATAACGTTTTATACACCCTGCAGTGACACATTCCCCTGATTATTTATATTTGTTTGACTGGAATCTTTTTCCACTCATGCATCTGTTTTAGATCTCCAAAATAATATGAAATGGCATTGAGGCAAAAGCTTAATGTACATTATTTTTAAGCAGCGTCATCATCTGTATGTAATTGATGCTCTGCTGGGCTAGAACTAAAGTGTTTAAGAAAGAGTTGTCACAGAGTCACATGTATTGTGGTTTCAGCTATAGATCAAAATCTTAGAGGGAACACATACTGTATTTGCTTACTTGCCGAGAGTTCAATTCACTTCTTGCAAATTAATTTAGGCTTCACAAATTATATTCAGGAAGTAGCACAAACGTTTGCTTGCCATGGATCCCATTTTCTGCAGTATTGCAAAATCCAAAGGAAAAATCCCATTGGCTTTTTGACAAGGGAGCTGGCATGATGCTAACTGGGGTTGTTGTTAAAAAATAGCTCATCCCTGCAGGATTCTTTAGATCGAGATATAGTCTGTGGGAATGTTTCAATCCGTCCGAAGCAGCAGAGTTACAGTAAAGCTGCTCAGCACACTGCCCAGAAACAGGATTATTTGAAATTCAGCACATTTGAGGTTTAGAGCCCCACTTGATTACACCGCTCCTTCAGAAGAGCTGCACAGCAGAGTCTGTGTGTGGCACAACAGGAGGCTGAACTAAATTAGTCTAATGCTGATGCAAGTGTGTGTTCTAGCCACATGCCACATCTGGCCCCTCAGGCACCAAGAAATAAATCTCAAATAAAATGTTGTTGTTATCTTTCTTACCCATTTTCTCACATTATCTTAAGCCAAAGTTGCAACATGATATAATATCATACTGAAATGATATCAGTATTAATCATTTTCAGGTTCAATCCTGTAGTGTGTGTTTCTACTGTTTACATGCTTTGATTTAAACATACTTTTTCTCATATCGTGTCAATATAGCCGTATCTGAAAAAACTCCAGTCTCCTCTGATTGGTCAGTGTTTCTGGTTCTTCTGCATTTCTCTTTCGACACATTTCAAGTAAAATTATGACATCACAGTAAATTGAAACTATGGAAGTTTTGGCGGCTTATCTAAAGGAACAGTTTCTGGGCTTTGTGCATTTTTCCGTGGGTTCAGCATTTTCATACTCAACCAGTAGCCAGTGATGGAAGGAGTGCTCAAATTCTTTACTAAGTTAAAGTAGTAATACCACAGTTTAAATATACCCTATCACAAAGTTATACGTTTAAATTTTGTTACTTTAATGAAAGTACAGAGGTATTATCAGCACGTAAGTATAAAAAGTAAAAGTACTTATTGTGCAGAAGGGCTGTTTTAAAAGTTTGTATTATTAGAGAGTATTATTATTAGTTTTTTGGTTGTATTAAATACATTTTTGATATTTTAATACAATTTAACTTTTGGACACTTGATGTACTACTGAGTAGATTAGTAGTATTTCTTTTATTTTGATCATTTAAAGACTTAATGCTATTTATGTTCAAAGTAAGTAACTATGAATTTGAAATGAATGTTATGGAGTCAAAAGTACAATATGTAGTGGAGTAGAAATATAAAGTGGCAGAAAACTGAAATACTCAAGTAAATAATACTACTTCTAAATTATACTTAAGAACAGTACTTGAGTAAATGTACTTTCCAAAACTGCCGGCAGCACATAGGCCTGCTTCATTATTAAATAAGACATGGAAATCTCACTTTTTAAAGTACAATGCAGCTTTTATGATCCAGTTACAAAAGGACATTGTTCACATTGCATGGTGATGAAAATCATTTAGAGCCAGAATAAGAAAGCCAAAAAAGCATAGATAGTGTTTAAGAAAACAGTGTGACAAGATGTTGAAGAGAGTTCAGAAGAAGGACACATAAATGAAAGACAGTGATTTCATGTGTATCTATGAAATGTATCTGTCCACTATTCAAACATTAAAGAGGAGTGTGTAACAGCTCGGATCAAGTGCTGTCCTGTTCTACTGTGCGTTAGTGCCGCCTTTAAATCACTTAGCCGTGTTGACGTCTTTTACAGCTAGTTACGAAATGTATGGAGCTCTATAGAAGCCTCTGGCGTCACACACCGTCCCTGCAGACGCTGTGACGCAGCCCTCCCTTCGGTGTCCACTCATGCCTTGCGGGTGCAGCTGAGGACTTAAATACTACAGCTGTGTTGACAAGAGAGCCACGACATGGAGTGTTCTGGAACAATGAGAGGACGGGTCAAGAGAGCAGTTTCTATAGAGCAGTCTGCAGAAAGTGCAGCTGAGGTCTCAATGTCATGCTCTCTCTCTGCAACTATGCATTGTGTGTGTACAGGGTTGGGGGGGTTACTTAAAAAATGTAAGCCGTTACCTAATGTGCTTTCTGTTACTTTCCATTACAACAATATCAAATGCAATGTGAATGAATGCAAGACAAAATTAAAATTAATGCAATGACCCTAGAAAAAGAAGAGACCAAGATATCTGGATCAAAAATGATTTTGTTTATATGAATGAAGCAGATTCAGGCAGCAGCCTACACACCAACACTGAAACACATGAGAACATACTACAGTTTAAAAAAGCAGAAATAAAATCTGAGCTGACATAAAATGCTCCGTTTTAGTTTAATACACACAGTTAATAACATATACATTCACCTACTGAATTAAAAACAGAACAAATGAAGCAAAGAAAGTGAAAACCATAAAGCAGATTCAGATCTTTTTAGGTTTTAGTAACACTGTAATCCTGATAGTAATCCCATTTTTTTTCAGAAATGTAACAGTAATCACATTTTTTATGTAACTGGAAGGGATTACAGTTACCTTTTTTTGCATCGTGATTACGTAATCCGTTACTCCCATAGCATGTGTGTGTGAATGAAGCTTCCTTTTGTGAAGACCCCACCCCATATTTAATCACGTATACTGTAGAGGGCAACTGGCTATACTGCTTCCTGTGTAGGAAGCGGAAGGGAGTGGGTGGGGGAGATGGGCGTGGGGGGATTAGAGGGGTGCCCAGCCTTGTCTCCCCTCTGTATCTGGTTCTGTTGTTGTCCATATTTCATCTGCCTTCCATTTCAGCGTGTCCCCCTCCTCTGTAATATCCTGCACAGAGCAAACAGGCCACATGTCAAATATTATGTCCGTCAGTCCCACAGAGCCACTTACTGCCGTGTGTTCTTTATTCATTCCAGGAACAAGGGCTGCAAGTTATCAGGGCTGAACAATTGTTGAGTAGGCTACACAGAGAACATCTCCTTTATTGCTAAACTGCACACAATGTGCTCTCAAAATTGCACACACAATGTTCTTCTTGCCTGAGAATCTGTTTTGATTTTCTTCAAATAAATTCAGTTTTTGCAGTAAACAGTAAAGACACATTTTGCTTCGCCTGCTTCCCCTTTCCTCTGCACTGCAGTTGGCTGGACTGGAAGGTAGAGCGTTACAACAGTGCAGACACTCAAAGTAACTCAGGGAGTGATGTAATGAGCCAGTAAAAGCAAACCATTGTATCCTGGAAGTGGGAATTGTGAAACAGGATTCGGTTGGGTTGGGCCACAGCGTTTACGCACATTGACTCAATTCTAGATTAAATCAACTGTCACTCCTGGGAAGTTGCATAGCCGTGGATGTGTGCAGTAACATCTTAGTAACCTCATTTATCATCATTTCTGCAACATTGTGCAAAGCTCGTCCTTCATGAAATCAAGCTTTGATTTGTGTAATTGTTCCAGGGTTGGTGATATCAGTTCATCAGTCTTTCCCCCATTTTTAAGAAATGAAATGTCTAACAAATATAACATGGATTTCCTTGAAGCTTTGTAAAGACATTCGAGATGCCCAGAGGATAAATGGTATAATAGCAGCAGCTGAAGTTTTCTGTAGCATCACCAGCTTGCACAACATTTGGTACGGACATCGATGTCCCACACAGGGACAACTTTTCTGTTCCAGTCCGGGTTGCAGGGCCGAATTCACAATATACATTGGGGGGGGACTCAAAATGTCCCCCCCAATATATAGCCTAACTGATATAAAAAAAAGATTGCTATTCTATGACTTTATTATTTTGGCTATTTGTATACTTGAAAATCTTTATTTTCTGTTATTATGAACTTCACCAAAATGATATATATTTTTTTCACATGTAAATTAGTTCCACCTTTGTTTGTTTATGCATACCTTTATTTTGGACCCGTGAGGTGTATTTTGCTGTTGCACGTCCGAGTCCAGCTTCAGATAGCGTTGATGCTCCAAGCAGTTCAGTCATGTTTTAATTTGCCCTCCATCAGTTCTGGTATCTTTTTCTAGTTAGCCCTAAACTAATCTATATTATTTTATTTCGTAATGGTAATGTTAATGAACCCTCCGGTTTAGCTTCTTTGTGTAAATAACTTGTAGTTCTGATGTTAAAACCGAACTTTTCAGGAATAGTAGCTAGGGGAGTGATTTGTAAAATATGCATAAAGAAAAAGTAAATCTGTTTACAGTTCTGTTTCATATGGGTGTTGAGAGATGTATCCATAGATCTCTTCATTTTGCTCTCAAAGTGCACCAGATTGATGCTTTTAACTTCAACATTTACAAATGGGAGCATGCCCCCGGACCCCCACAGAGGAGGTGAGGTCCATCACTTGCCCCATACGCCCATGCCTGAGACACAGTTTCGTGAATATTGTTGTTTTTTGCCCCCACGGGCGGAGGCAGGTTTTAAAGTATCCAATGTGTTAGTGAATTTTTATATTTTCCCTTAGAATGGCAGGAAATTAGTATTCATTGGGTCCCCCCCAATGTAGACTCCATGGTTACGGCCTTGCCGGGTTGCATTTGGGTCCAAAAATACTTTTTACATTGGGAATGGGGCGTCTGTAAATCAGCTTATCATTTTTTAAGTTGCAAAATAAACTACCCAGTATGAACTTCTTTAGCCCTTATTTGAATCATTAGGTTGTAAAATCAGCCAAATGCAGAGTTATTTTCCAATCTATTCATTTGACTGAGCCTGGAGGTGAAGCTTAAGGAAAACCTTAAGTGACCATGCCCATGCCCTGTGTCCAGTTCTTTTTAAACAACCATGGCTACACCTGATTGGCCATTTTTGATACATAGCAAATGTTAGTATACAAACATACTTAACTACATGTTTAGGTTTAGAAATAAAACATCATGGTTTGTCTTTAAAAAGGTATGTGACATGAATTTTTGGTTTCACACAGGACATAAACCGTGCCTTTGTCCCATCCATCCACTTCAACCTCCTCCCTTTGCAGACTTGTGGGAAATAATAAATATGTGATATTTCAGAAACCAATGTAATCTGTGAGAAAAAGTATTATTCTAGATCCGGCTTAATAAATAGTATGGTGCAATCATTTGCACTTTCAAAATGGGACGGATAACAAACAGCTTTTAAGATAAAGCGATCTAAGTATCTTGTCTTTTGTTAGTAAGTGAACTTAGTTGCTGATAGGTTCAAATGATGTTGGTGACTTGTATAAAGGCAGTGATAGTCTCAGCAGCATGACCTGTGTGCTTCTTTAATCCCACAGGAACATGTTGCCAGGAATCTTTGGAATAGATTTATAACACTGTGGATTTGTCACTTTCACTTTTCACAGCATCTCCAAACCAATAAATGTAGTACAGTAAATGTATTTTGTTTTTGTTCTGAACCAGGTTTGAGCACGGCTGTCCAAAGGCTGCGATGTCTTCAAAAATGCAGAGCTCCAGCAGGATGGCTCAGGCCAGGCGGATGGTGCAGCAGCTGAGGATGGAGGCCCGCTTTGAGGGGATAAAGGTGCCTTTCTATTCTTTCACACCACTCTGCTTCTACTCCTATACCGATGTGACCGATCCATGCGAATGCTCTACAACGGCCTAAAACCCTTAGGCTGGAGCCACACGAGGATAATGCAAACGGACCAACATCGATATCAAAAAAGTCTTCCGTCCACACGCAATAGGCACTAGAAACGTGTCCGTTCACACGAGACTGCTCGAAAGCGCTGAAGACGCTTTAGTACATATGCCGGGCCTGTAAGTGGCGCTGTACTCTTGCCACAAAAGCAGTGAAGAAGACTTCCCGCGCATGGTTGACATGGTTGCCCTTCTGTTTATTCTCCTCTGTGGACGTTCTGGCTCTATTTCTCCCTCCCCAAGGCAAGCGTTTGCTCCTGCTGTAATTCTCTCCGGTAGTCCACCAGCAGATGAAAAACCCCCACGGTCCGCGTCTTCCAAGGGACGAGGGGACCGTGCGGCAGAGTTTCAGTTAGATTTGTTTACGCCGGTCTGTTAAAGTTGAAATCTTCCTGACAAAATTAGAAAAGTGCCGGTCAGAGGTCTTCTTTGTTATTTATTGAGCTTTAAAACAAATTGATAACGACTCTATATAATAATAAAAAACGGAGCCTCTCTTTTCCTCCCCCTCTTCTGACAGCCCAGCAGCTGATCTCTGAGCAGGAGAGGTGGGGAGAGGCGGGGCTATTGCTTCATCGTTATCAGAAAATGATCGTATATGCGTAAACACGGAGCCGTTTGCCCCCCCAGAGCGTTTCGTTTGCAGATCTACCCACCTTGGGACCCGTTATCGTTATAGTGTTCTGCGTTTCCATGTCGGCCTCGTGTGGCCGAACCGTCTATCTGATAGAGAACTGTAGCAGATACGACCGTTATCGTCCTCGTGTGGCTGCAGCCTTAGATTAGGAGAAATGTGCTGCACTTTCATAAACTATGTAAATATACAAACACAAATGTGCAAAAACTAAAAAGAAAGCTATCTATCTGCAAGATCTGCAATAATATTGGAGGAATCATGCAATACCATTGTTAAAATAAGCCAATAAACCTAACATTTTAAATATGTTTCCAATGACAGAGACAGTCGGACAACTTTATAACCTTCCTGTCCCAGCTGTGTGCATCACTTTGTACTGTCCCCTGGTTTCGGATGTGCTTTGAGCTTCTTGCAGCATTTTGTATTCGCAGCGTTTTGTTTATGCAGCGCTTTTAGTAAATGAGGCGCATGTTTCGTCAAGTTGGTGAAGATGTTTCTTCATGTACATGTGTTTTGGCACATTTGTTTGTTTTTGTATTTGTATCTTTACTGAAATGCAGCGTGTTTCTACTAACAGAAGTGTGTTGGGCTGTTGTAACGTGTTTGCACCTGTTGGCCACCGTACCTCTGTCAATGTAAATCAGTGTGTCGATTGATTTCTTCACAGGTGTCCAAGGCTTCATCTGACCTGATGCGTTACTGTGGAGAACATGCCAAGAACTTATGGGCATCCCCACCTCAGAAAACCCTTTCAAGGACAAGAAGCCTTGCACTGTTTTGTAGAACAACTTTCTCTGCCTTCCTTTTGATTCTTATGTGGTAAAAAATATGTTAGATTCACAACTTAATCTAAGGCCAGTGTCCCCCCCTCTTCCCATTCCTACTGTAGTTTAAAGGATGTGTTCCTGTTTGCCTTGCAGTCACATGACAGTTTCAGCAAAGAGCAGGCAGCAGTCCGAAGCTGTGGCATTGGATGACAGAGTTCCTGCCTCTCTAATTATCACAGCGTGCAGAAACAAGCCCCCTCAATCATTGGACCAATCAGATTTAGCCATTCAGCTTTCACCTCTGACTCTGGTCAGGCTCTCTTCAGGAAACAGTTGTGTAGGTTGTGTTCTGCTGATAATAGCAGCCCAGATAATGATATCCTGTCAACGGACCAGCAATCTGTGCTGTCCATCACATGAGAGCAAATAGTAACAGTGGAAGTCCAATGCCCCTAATGCACATTTCTTTTTTCATCTTGTCACATTCAGAATAATAATAGGGTTTAAAATGAAATTGTTCTCTGTTCTCTTTAAGCACAGACAGAGCAATCAAATTGTTGACATGTATAATTTAACAGTTCACTTAAATCTTTTATTTTAGGTATACATAAGAGCAACCGATCCAGGTACTTTCCGTCTTTATCATGGCCACGCCCCTTTTTGGGTAAAAATCTGTCTGGTAGTGCCGAGAGACGGGAGTCGGAGGCGGTGCATCGAAGGTACAAAGTTAGCTTTATTGAGCATCAGAAACACACATGTTGTCGGCTTGAAGCCCGGGAAGACAAGAGGAAGAAGAAAGGAGGGCACACAGTACACTGTACAGTCAACAAACATGTCCGTGCGGAACAATACCCCCAACCTGTAGTTCCATGAGTGAATTATGTCAATCAGTGATCACTACACAAGCCCCCCCAGAACTCAACCATGGACACAATCCTCGCGTCCGGGAGGAAGCACCACAGGGGCCGAGGAGGGTGGGGCCGCAGGCGAGGGCCGGGCCATGGAAGGGGGCCGCAGGAGCGGGCAGGGGCCCCAACGACGTTCCTACACTTTATTGCAGATGACAAGATCCAGCGGGAGCTCGACGGGACAACTCACAATATGAAAGTATTTCAAGAGGTCTCTACACTGATGTGCGGAAGCGGTTACTCGAGGACTGTCTTGCAGTGTAGGGAAAAACTGAAAAAGATGAAGAGTGAGTATCGCGTAGTGAAGGACAACAACAAGCCGATCGCTCCGCCTACACTGCGTTACTATAGATACTACCCCAGTTCCTAAACTGTAATGGAGACGCGCCATAAAGTGAGCCAGTCCTAACGAGCGAGCCAGTCCTAACGAAGTGAGCCAGGCCTAACGAGCAATGCCGTGTAGTGGAAACGCGCCATTAGACAATTTGGACATCACGTTCGTATTACATTTAATTGAAGTAGTTATTGAAAGTCTACAGTATAATGTAAATGCAGGCAGAAAGGACTACATAGAAGCTACTTTATCCTAGATCTGGCGAAAACAATTCTTAATAGATGCGAGCAGCGCCATGTTACTGACTGGCAAAATGATGGCCCGCCCCCTTTTCGGAGAAAAAAAGAATCAGATCGCCAATCACAGACCTCCAATTACATTGTGTATGACTGACGATAATAATTGGGCACCTTGTAGATCAGAATTGCATATTATTGTTAATTTTTTTTTATCTGAATGGCGAAGAGCTCAGAATTTGTATTTACCGCCAGTCAATTGATAAGACTGTAGTGATCACTGATTGACATAATTCACTCATGGAACTACAGGTTGGGGGTATTGTTCCGCACGGACATGTTTGTTGACTGTACGTACTGTGTGCCCTCCTTTCTTCTTCCTCTTGTCTTCCCGGGATTCAAGCCGACAACATGTGTGTTTCTGATGCTCAATAAAGCTAACTTTGTACCTTCGATGCACCGCCTCCGACTCCCGTCTCTCGGCACTACATTGGTCACCCTGATATAAGTCTCGCAGAAGTATCCGAGACTGAACCGAACATGGCAAATAACGCAGTTTTTCTCGAACTGCCGGAGTTTTTGGGAGACGTCTGCGGCTGCTTCGTTCGCACCGACTGAGCCTCGTTTCGCCCTCCGCGGAATGACCGATGACGACGCACGCTATTTCGACATTGTTTCGGCACTGGGAGACAGCAAGCCTTCCGACCACATGGAGATGATGCACGACCTGCTAGGTACGGAAGAACCCGACTTCTTTTTCATGGAACTGTTTCTTCGGGACATGCGGCCGCATGTCCAGCCAGCGCTTGCTAACACGGCTAGTGTTGAGTCCCGCGCTTTAGCCGAAGGAGCTGACCGGTTCTTCCTGACCGCCCGCCGTTTTACCCCTGAGGTGCTGGCCCCGTCACGCAGCGGCACCTTCCCTGGCCCGGCCCTCGCCTGCGGCCCCTGTGGTGCTTCCTCCTGGACGCGAGGATTGTGTCCATGGTCGACGCGTCGCATATAAACGATTCTCTCTGACCAATCAGCAGTCGAGAGTGACGTCACAGCCTGGTTGTTTCTGGACCTAGAACCCCAATTTTATGGGGCCAGAAAAACTGTGAATTAGGACCGCTAGCCGGTACTAGGCCAAGTGGAAACGCAACCAAAAGCGTGCCGCTGATGTCACAGCCCTCTTAAACGGGGCTCCGCGCTGTAGTGGAAACGCGCCATTAGTGTTTATTTTCTCTATTATTTTTGTTTGTGTTGGCCTTAAAAATGAATACAAAACTCAGTCCAACTATCTGTAATGTTCAAATCTGTAAAGCTAAAATAATGGGATGAACTTTTGAGATCATTGTACATTGAGCATGACCCTTTTTAAGAGGTACTCCTTGAATTATATATTTTATTATGAGGCCATCATTGCTGGAAAAAGGACCAATCTTCTTACCAGATATAAATACATTAACTTTTCTAAGGTCACTTTGTTCTATCTGCAGAGCCAAGGCTTATTGCTTTATTACTCAGGCACTAAGAGACCTGCTGACTGTTATACTCTTGAGTTTAAAAACATTCCATTTACACACGTGCTTTACTTTTTACTTGTATTAGGTTGTATTGTATAAGAGGACTTATAAGTGGCAGTGTGTAGCTGTGACTGTGATGTCTGTTTTGGTGCTAAAGCACAATATAAGCAGCTAATTAAACTACCATTTTACCAGCATGGGACTTGATAATGAAACTACCTTTTAGTCACATACTGTAAGTGCAGTTTTCTAATACTGTGAATAAGGAGAAGGGAGTATATGTTTTCATAGGCTGTGTATGAATGACTCATGTTCAATAATGAATGGCCTTGAGATATGCAGTATATCCCATACATCCATAACTATTGTGGCACAGTGTGTATGTATGAGCCACAGTATGTGCCTTGTAAAGTTGTTAATGTACTGATTTGATAGATTCAGTCAACCTTTTTGAATGAACACTTATGTGTTGTTTTGTTGTTAATGGTGTATTTGGTTGATTTTTACTATAGAATAGGAATGTGTGTTTTAAGTAGAGCAACAATATGTGTGGTTTCTCACAGTGTGTGCATCATGTTCTGCCTTTACCTGTTTGTGGTAAAAAATAAACCTATGGAAAACAAGTCATTCCTATTAGCGTTAATTTTTTCAACTAATTAAATTAATTACATTGTAAAATGAAACTGTTCTAGTTACGTTCTGAGTTCCAAAGATAATTAGTTATACATTTGTTTTGTGTGTAGATTGGAAGCATTTAACAGTTGGTATGTGACATACCCATTTATATAAACCAATTGACAGTTATCAAAATGTTGACAGAAGATTATAGGATCAGAGAAAAATGTTAAAGAGGCCCTATTCTGCTTTTTGGGGGTTTCCCTGTAGTGTGTTCTATACTGTAGCTTTCTGTGCATTTAAATGGTCTACGAAGGCTACCTGTGTTCCCTCCAGAGGGAGTTTCTCTCCCACACACTCCCACCCTGAAACATCTCCATTGGACTCCTTTGTTTACTGCCGTAACATAGTGACATCACTATGTTACACTCACACTTCTACTGGCTAGCGCTCCATCACATTGTACGTGATAGGTTAAGGGGCTGGACATCTCTAAGCAGTTGACCAATCACAACAGAGCCGGCCAGCTAACCAATCAGAGCAGACTGGGCTCTGGTTTCAGACAGAGGGTGAAAAGAGGTGCTGCAACACAGGCAGTATGAGAACAATAAAGAGCTTTTTGAACATTAAAGCATGAAGACATGTCCCAGCAGAGACACTACATACTGATATGAAACCTGAAAATGAGCCCCTTTTATAATATGCTGATTGAAAGTCAAAGTCAACTTTAATATCAATCTTACTCAGTTTGTGTTTACAGACAGAGCGATTGAAATGACATTTCCAACAATCCCGAACATACAATTATACAATATAGATATGTATAAGATATGTATAAAATATATAGGTTTGTCTCTGTGCCCCTGGGCAGCCTGTTCTCTCAGGTGTGATGTTTCATCCACAATCAGGTCAGGCCATATTGTTTGGCCCACATTGATGCAATCCTCACTCGAGACAGATGATGAATAGCAAGGCTTTGTAGCAGTGATTGTATTACCTGTCAGAGCAGAGGAGAAGCTCAGGGATAAGCCCAGTATCTCTGATATATCACTTACTCCCTGCCCCCCCTCCCTGTGTGACCTTAAGGCTGTGATCATGAAAGAAATGTGGTTAAATTGGCACCCAGGTTTCATTTCACTCTCATCCCACTCACCACTTAACTAAGATAACCAAATGTCAGACTTTACGTTCATTTCTCATCAGTGTGCTCTTGTTTCAGATGTGCAGATTTTAAAATGTTCCAAATAACAGTAATGGAAGAAAAGGTATTACACCACACAGGGAAAATACTGCACTGCAAGTTAAAGGCCAGCATTTTAAACCTTACTTAAGCTAAATAATGTAAGTATTTACAGTGTGATGTAAACGGAGTATCAACATTAAAACTGAACACTTCTTCTATTGGTACTTAAAATGTACTCTGATGATTAAACTTGCTTACTTACAGTTTATGATTTAAAGGTGGGGTATGTAATTTTGGAGAAACCAGCTCGAGTAATCTAGAATTTGAAAGTACGCAGCCGAAAAAGATCTGCCTCTTCCTTCAGACTTCCTTACAGAGCCCCTCCTCCAACACACACGAACGCGCACATGACCAATGAGGGCACGAGATAAGTTTGTGCACAGATGGAAGGCTGACAGGCAGGTAGGCCATCCAGTTATATTACCCGGGCCGGCTCAGATGATTGGTCGTGCTTTTTACAGTACTACGGCTTCCACAGATGACATTTATTATGGATTTATTGTCAAAGCATTTAATGTATTCATTGCTATCGGGATGTTAAGAACATTCCATGGAATATAACAAAAAGTGTTTCTGAAATAAATGACATACCCCACCTTTAAGTAAAATATGTAATTGTTCCCTCCAGCACAGCTATTATATATGATGGATACATATTACTGCTGCTTTAATGTGCTGCACGATACTGCTGTAAGACGGCAGTAGCTACTCAGAGAAAACTTTACCCATCAGTTAATCAGCAACATTTAAATACAAATCCTTACCATGTG